AAAAGAAAAAAGGATACATTTGGCTCTCCAGGCTTTTTTAGTGGTTCTATGCACATTTTAGGATTTTTTTGTTCTATTTTTATGATGCATGACGTTGGAATTTTGATAGAGATTGTGTTAAGTCTATATTGCTGTGGGTAGCATGGACATTTTAACAATATTGTTTTTCTCACCTATGAACACAGGATATATTCCCTTTGATTTGTGTTTTGTTCACTTTCTTTCATTAATGTTTTATCTTTTTCAGTGTACAAATCTGCCAACTCTTCATTGAAATTTATTTCTAGATTTTTTTATCTTTTCAAAAGGGGGATTTTTCAATTTTTTTGGATAAATGATTACCTGTATATACAAATGCTACTAATTTCTGTATATTGCTTTTATCCTACAACTTTAATAAATGTATTTATTATTTCTAACAGGTTTACTTGTTTAATCTTTAGGGTTTCTAAATATAAATTGATGTCATCTATTATGTGACCCAGCAATTCCTCTTCTCATTATATACCCAATGGAGAAAAAAAAAATCATTACTTTATAAAGAAACCTGCACTCCCATATCATTATTAACAATAACTGAGATATGGAAATAACGTAGGTGGCCATGAATATATAAACAAATAAATAAACTTTGAGAGAAACTTGTCTATCTACATGCTCATATTTACACACACACACAGACACACACATGTATATATACACACATATATATGTATACAGATGTAATAAAGGAAATCCTGCCAATTGCAACATGGATAGACCTAGAGTACATTGTTCTAGGTAAAGTAATCCAGATGCAGAAAGAAAAATATTACATAAATTAACTTATTCAGTCTATATTTTTTTAAAAGCTTGAATACACAAAAATAGAGCGTAAAACAATTGTTGTTCATTATGCATATCTACTACTTCGTATTATTTGGCCTACATCTCTCCATTTTCTCTCCCTCAGACTACCCATGGTAACAAATGTGCAACATAAGGACTAAAGTTAATACAATTGTATTAGAGATTTTTGTTAAACAAGTAGATATTATCTGTTCTTGTCACAAAAAAAATTACTATATGATATAGTAGATACATTCATCTGATTCATTCACTATAGTGACCATCATACTATCTATATGTAACTATGTATCATTATGTATCCCTTAGCATCCTTGTAAACCTTAAAAATACACAATAAAATGTATTGTTTAATGGGTAACTAACTACATGAGATAATGTTAACTTGCTGGACGTTAGTAACCAGTTCACTAAGTATAAGAAAACAGCATGTTTTACAATTTAAATATATACAATATTATTAATTTATTTCGGTTTTTGTATCTTCCTCTAATCACTCTATTTTGTGTTTCCATGGAATGGAATTTATAAGAAATTAGGAACCTTGTTAACTAATGGTGAAGTATAGGCGGTTTGCACAGAATAGGAAAGTTTTTTTTTGCTTTTTCAATTCTCACTGATTTATCATTTTCAATAATAAACTTATAAAATATTTTTTCTCAACATTTGTTCTACATTGAAAAGGAAACAAACAGACATTACACGCAGATTCACAATATTATCTAAAATATATGTCCATATATTTTTTTTATGAAGCAAAAAACAAAACTGTTTTATTATCAAAAACATCCAAACCACAAATCTTTAATAGAAATGAAAATAGTTAGGATTCTTTTTCGTTTTTTTTAAATTGCATTTTAGGTTTTGGGGTACATGTGCAGAACACGCAAGATTGTTGCATAGGTACACACATGGCAGTGTGATTTGCTGCCTTCCTCTGCATCACCTATATCTGGCATTTCTCCCCATGCTATCTCTCCCCACCTCCCCAGCCCCCCGTCCCTCCCCCATTTCCCCCCAACAGACCCCAGTGTGTAGTGCTCCCCTCCCTGTGTCCATCTGTTCTCATTGTTCAACACCCGCCTATGAGTGAGAACATGCGGTGTTTGATCTTCTGCTCCTCTGTCACTTTGCTGAGAATGATGGTTTCCAGGTTCATCCATGTCCCTACAAAGGACCCCAACTCACCATTTTTGATGGCTGCATAATATTCCATGGTGTATATGTACCATATTTTCTCTGTCCAGTCTATCATCAATGGGCATTTGGGTTGGTTCCAGGTCTTTGCTATTGTAAACAGTGCTGCAATGAACATTCGTGTGCATGTGTCCTTATAGCAGAACGATTTATAATCCATTGGATATATACCCAGTAATGGGATTGCTGGGTCAAATGGATGTTCTATTTCTATGTCCTTGAGGAATCGCCACACTGTCTTCCACAGTGGTTGAACTAATTTACACTCCCACCAATAGTGTAAAAGTGTTCCTATTTCTCCACATCCTCTCCAGCATCTGTTGTCTCCAGATTTTTTATTGATTGCCATTCTAACTGGCATGAGATGGTATCTCAATGTAGTTTTGATTTGCATTTCTCTAATGACCAGTTATGATGAGCATTTTTTCATATGTTTGTTGGCCTCATGTATGTCTTCTTTTGTAA